AATTTCACGCGCGCTATAAATGTTCACAGTAAAGTTGACAAATATCAGGGAAATATGTAGCGCACAGAAAAATCCATAGACGTCACAAGTGCTCTCAAAAAATATATACGCGTTCCGAATCTCCTCAGAGAAGTATATAGGCTGCAAATGTGTATAACCGGAGGAAAAGTTAATGCACGATTCGAATGTATCAATACGTTGGCACTTTTTTCTTTTTTTTAAAAGAAGAGAGGAACGTGAAATGCGATCGGGTTGCGTGGGACTCGAACGGTTAATTAAGTGACTCTCGTCAGCCAGATCGTTACATGCTTATCGATTCGTTCTAATTTGTACCGTTGAAACACATTGACGAGAGTACGTGCATCGATAATAATTTAGTTTCCCTATTAGGACAAACATTTGTTTAACAAGGATTTAAGGATGTATTGGCTATACAATCAATCCCAAAAGTTTCCCAAACGAAAATTTGGAAGAAATTGAAGGAGTACTCCTTGGAAAAATCTCGGAAAAATCGAAAATTTTTTTTTGTTGTTTATTATTAGCAATGTTCTTCCGACGTCTGATTTCTTTTTAAAAAATGCGTTTCTAAAGTGCATAAACTTTTGGGATTGACTGCATAGCCAATACATCCTTAATGGCTAGTTGCAGACTAAATTCCTTTAATCATTTCATTGTTTTCATTACGCAGACACTCATAGGACAATCTAGATTCACTCAGAAGAGTAATGTATATAGAATAACCTTGCCATGGTTCAGCACCGGACTTCTTACCAGTGCAGGTAATTCCCCTTTGAAAATATTTAAAAACACAATTAGCAGCGGCTACTGAGATACATACTTATTTTGATTTTTCATTTGCAGTATGAAAATCATGTAATAATTGCAAATATGTTTTGTCTTCACAACTATTCAAATGTTTCGATACGTTCGCAAGATACGCTGATTAGACTCTAAACAATTATCTTTTTATTAATTATGTACTGTGAAGTATATCTAGTTTTTTGATTAAGCGAAAACAAACAAATACGGGATATGCTAAATAAAAATGCAATAAAAGAGGCGCGGTTATCGTTCGATTTACTTACAGGTCGCAAATGGCACACACGCAGGAAGATACTAACACCTGCTTTTCATTTTAATATGCTTCGGGAATTTACCGACGTTTTCATCCAAGAAGGAGAACGGTTGATCGAGAAACTAAAGAGTGAAGGAAGGCCTGTTGTTAAAGATCTGAAGATGTTGATCAGCGAGCATACTTTGAATACTATTTGTGGTAAATCACAATTAATTCGAATTCTTAATTGTTGGTCAATAGAATTTTTTTACTGTACGTGAGAGGAAGTACTTGAAGAATGTAGTAAAAATGCTTAGTTCTTCCTTCAGAAACTGCAATGGGAACGTCCCTCGTTGATAAAGGACAATTTCAATTTAAATATCGCAAAGCCGTGCACGATGTGGGGAACACTATGGTGTATAGGTAAAGGATTTGAATGCGCTCTCATTTCTATCATATAGTACGCAAACGATATTCGTATATCTTTTTTTATAGATTACTAAGACCATGGTTGAACTTCGATTTTGTTTTCTTCCTTACTCCTGTAGGAATGCTACAATCTAGACTACTCAAAATACTACATGGCTTTACCAAACAGGTCGCGGCAAGATTTTTATTTCGAATACTTAAAGCATCAGTGATGCAATGTGTGATATGTTACAGATCATTAAGGAACGTGAGGAGTATCACGATAAGACCAACGGTCGTTATCTAGCTGATTTCGACGGCAATGCGAACGAAGATATTGATGATATGACATGCAGTAGTACGTTATGCAAACGACTAATCGTATTTAATTAATGGTACTTATGACTTAAATGTTTATTTGCTTGCAGTTCGCAAAAAGAGGCTTGCCATGCTCGATTTACTTCTATCGGCTCATCGACAAAATCTAATAGACGACGAAGGCATTAGAGAAGAAGTCGACACGTTTATGTTCAGGGTGCGTTTGCGGCTTGGATATAAAATTAGCTTTATCAATATACACTTCGTATTTAATGTTTTGCAATTTTCAACAGGGACACGATACCACGGCAGTATCCCTTTGTTTCACTATAATGCTTTTGGCTGAACATCCAGAGATTCAGGTAACTTCTCAAACGAAGAATAAAGGAAAACGTTTAATACATATCACGATAACGTCCTCAGGATCGAGCCAGGATTGAGGTGCAAAAGATAATGGAAGCGAGCAACGGAAAGTTAAGTATGTCCGATCTTCAAAAATTACCATATCTCGAAATGTGCATCAAGGAGTCGCTAAGACTTTATCCAAGCGTGCCTTTCATATCTCGTGCTCCAGAAGAGGACGTGATGTTAAGTACGTATCGAAACCACTTCTACAGTTTCTTATTTTCGGTTTATTAAATATCCGAGAATCTATTTCTATTTTTCAGGTAATTATCTAGTACCTGCCCACACTACAGTGAACGTGTACATATACGATACTCACAGAGACCCGAAGTTCTGGCCAAATCCGGACGTCTTCGATCCGGAACGGTTCACGCCTGAAAATTCTCATGGACGACATCCGTACTCATACATACCTTTCAGCGCCGGTCCAAGGAATTGTATCGGTAAGGAAACGGAATGAGAAAAACATTGAGGAGCGTAGTTACAAATGTTGAATTTCTACAGGGCAAAAGTTCGCCATGCTGGAACTGAAAGCAACCTTGGCGTACCTCTTGTATAATTTCATTTTCGAGCCTGTAGATTATCTTAAAGACGTCACTTTTGTACCAGACCTTATCCTACAAACGGAACATTCTTTTCGAACTAAGTTCGTTCCGCTGGAGGTTGTCGGTTGATAAACATTAGAACATGATCAGTACTTGGTACAGGATTCGTATTTGGTGGACTCGTTTTATTTGTAGGGAACACGATAAAAGAGGCGAGTTAAGTTGACGATCACTTTTAATAGATGAAATACGAAAACAATGTACAGATACAGAATTTACATTCCTAGCCGACGAAAGTTCGCTAGATAAAATGTTAATTGTGTAGTAAAAAATGAATTAAAAATAAAGACGATATACACTTAATGAGTGGCTTATCCATTGTTTTCTCACCTTCGTCATCATCATCGCCTCCGTCCTCTCCTTTATCTAGTCGCTTATCGGTTAGTCGTTTACCTAATTTACGATGATTGAATTATTTAATTATAATTATGTCTTCTGCATAGACACACAGGTGTTGAATACGTAATGGAGATTCTTAAAAGCTACACAATGTTTTTTTCTCTTTACTTTGGTTTTAAAGTAAGGACTAGTACGTTGAGCTTCGCTTTATCTCTATGTGCAAGAAAAAATTAAAAAGCAATGAACAGCAAACGATTCGACCAATTTATATCTGGCGATGTTTCTTACGACAGAATGAAAAATTCAAGCCACGTTATATGACATTACGTTTTATACATCGAAGATATGCTCGAAGATCATCGATATACATAGGTCAATGAGCATCGATCTTCTATACATCGTGATATCATATCCGAGAAAGGATATACGATCACATTCGCTATGAGCACAATTTAAATAGAAGTTAAATTACGCGTATGTATGTATAAACATCGAATACGGTCAAGTATTCCTCTCATCCTAACCGATTTATGGTCGCGATTCCATGCGAAGAGTAATTTACATACTTATGACAACGATTCATGATTCAGTTGTAACGCGTACAACTGCCAATAAATAAATGCAAGATGTCCAAGTACCTTTCAATTCATAGGAGCCTGCAACAGTTGATCTGAAACAGATTCTGAAGCGATTTCGTGGTACGGGCGACCATAAAACCTTACGCATTCTAGTTAATTTAAGTGCGATGAAGGCACGAGGCGTGTATTATTGAATCTTGTGCAGAGGGTGCATATGAAAACGAGCACAAGAAAAAGATGGGACTACGTTCGCTGAGCATCGCCGCGTTCGCGGTCTCGCGACGAGGAAACCCTTTCATTTTTATCATACTATACTAACAATGATTCCTCCTTAAAACGAGCGTATGACATTTTCTTTGCACAGGTGACAAGCGAAGCTCACAGAGTGTTTAATGTTTATACCATTTAGAATTGGAAATGTAATTTAGAATTAGAATGTAAAAATACTATGTATATATACAAGTTAATTAATGGGTGCCGATCGTTCGGCACCATAGTTTTATATTACACGGTTCTTTTCTCTCTCTCTCTCTCTCTCTCTCTCTCTCTCTCCCTTTCTCTCCCTCTCTCTCATTCTTTATTTTAATCTTTCGTCAGAGAGCTCCTCTCCTCCTCGGTAATTTTTTTAATCGGTTGTACTTATGAACAGTGACGATTGCTCCAAAGAATATTCTGTAACGTCGTGAATTTTCATCGGAAATAATATATCCCGCGTAACATCAACACTCGTCCTCGCTACGTTATTACATCTCTTTTTCTCTCTCTCTCTCTCTCTCTCTCTCTCTCAGTATAATAGATTCTCATTTCTCCTTGTTGGCACACGAACGGAAGCAACATACAGTATCCGATGATACGCCAAACGATGATACGAATTACGAATGAGAAATCTGCTCTTGCGAATTATTTTTATATTGACATCGAAGTTATCAATTTTACATTAAGTTCTTACTTAACGATACAAAAGACTGTAAACGAAAGCCTTTCTATTAAATGTTTTAATTACAAATTCTAATTCATTGTAAATTGGCAGATTTCCCGATCGGCCATCGAGATCAAAGGATAATTGAAAAATTCTGTTCTATATATATATGTATATATATATAATATACTGTATAATATATACGAGATACAAAATTGATTCGCCCCGAAAAAACGATAAAACGACTGAACAGTCTTCACTTCTTGCTGTGAAAATTTGGAACGGATAAACTCGTTACGGTGAAATTCGTCACGTCACTTTCGGCGATTCGTCACAAAGCCTTTGCGGTATCGTTCCCCGCTTATACATACGATAAAAGAATAACAGATGAATAGACCGCGGATCTTTATGCAAAACAGGACGTTAGCAACGTCAATTTAAAAGATGCAATCTAATCCGCAGCCTAGCGATAAGAAAACGGAACGATACACGCTAATTAACATCGGCGAGAGAGTAATTCCCTAATTTATACGTTTCCATCTCTCGTCCAGAAACGATTAAGAACAGAGAACGAACGAATACGAGAAAAGTAAAAAATTGAGATTTACATATATCTAGATTACGAAAGCTCTCGATCGTTTCCTTAAATTTGATATTTAATTCGTTACGCGTCTCGTCCCGTCTGATCTTTCATTACTTTTGTTCTTGTCTATCTAAGTCGTATATGTACATTATATACACGTGAAACGGTTAATTTATATTTATAATTATATGTATATATAATATATCCTCGTATCTTAATGATTGTATAATTAGGATTGACTATGTCTTAGAATAATCAACGGAATTATTAATTATATCGTGTAAAATATCAAATATCGTACTGTTAGATGGTATGTCCATCTCCAAGGTACCAATTTGGACGAATATCGGTCCGTCTAACATGCCTAGCACTTTGATGAGCAAATACTTTGGAGATTACATAATCTAATAATATCAGGTAATATTAAGTATAGATGATTTTTTGTTTCGTTAATTACAAATATAAAACATGTATATGTAAATAGAATTCTTAATTATGCGCAAACATGTTCTCTAATTGAGCATACGTCAAATTTCATTTCATCTTTTTTTTTTTTTCTTCCTCTTTAATCATCAGTCTAAGCCGAACGGTGCGGCTCCCGGTACACAACAGCAGCGGTTTAACAATACACCTTTCATTTTTATTTTTATTTCCATTTTCCTTTTTCTTTAAGCTTCGTAGAATCTACCGTTAACAAATCAAGAGCCTCCTCCTCCTCCTCCTCCGAGGTCAATCAAATATAACAAATAGCGCGTGCTACGAAAAAACGGTGTTACTCGTAAAACTTTCAAACTGCTTCTCAAGCATGAAACACACACACACGATAACGGCGCGGAAATTTTATGTACCTATACGATATTTCATGTTGAACGACGACCCTTTTCTTTTCTTTCCTGTGTCTGTGAGAGATGCACTTTGCCAAAGACGCGGGAGACGATGATAGCACGATCAATCATCACGACAGAGAACAGGATAGTGGGATCGATTGATCGTCGGTACCACCGTTCGCGGTTAGTTCCGTCGAGACTCTGGCGATAAATACGATTGCAAAATTTCATAATCACGATTAACTCACAGTTTTGCGAAGCAATCATGTTTCATCGTTTCTTGATAAACGTGTATACGTGTACACAAGCGAACTGTTTATCCTTCGTTTCTTAATTAATTTCCTCCTCGTCGGAAGAAATTCGCATCTTCTCCTCATTGAATCTGAACGAAACTGATCACCTCTTGTCCAAACGGGAGCTGTAACTCGCGTTTCACGCGTGGATTCGTTTTCCCTTTTTACAATAGGCCAAACGTATGCGGTGTCTTTTGTTCTCCTTTTCAAAAAATATATGCGTCGACTACTTAGGCTTTCGATAAACGGAAAGACGTTGTCCCTCATCCGATGGAATAACTTCCTTCCCTTCTTCATTTTCGTTTTGTCTCGTAATAAGATATAATACGTGATCTAACGCGCAATAATCCTATACAAATACTTCATATTAGCTTAGGTAAAGTGAGACCCTCATATGATCCATTATTATTTTGTTTGTTTGTTAATTATCTTCTTCGTGGAGTGTGTGAAACGCTGAGACATATCGCACTATTTACAAGGATAATCAATCTTTAATGGAAATAAATGCAAAAATATATGTATGTATAAACATTTAGTCGAACTACGTTCTTTCTTTCTGTCTTATATCATTTTTCTCATTTCGCATAAACACCTCGCCTCACTTTTCGTCTCGTCATCCTTACGCAAGAGTGCAAACATTAATTTTAAGTTGTCGCCGTGCCAGGGAAATAGCTTACTCTTAACTAAACTCATACTCGTACAATTAAACTTATGTACTATTGTCTTTTATTTTTGAAGATATCACTACTCCAAGACACTCGCATCTTTTAATTCCTTTCTTTGTTTCATTCTACATCATCCATTTAGACGTCGACTCTGCTGATTATGTTGATTAAATTTTGTCAATTTCTAATAAAATGTTATTCCGTTCTTCTTCGAATATTATTTCGTTGCGATATTACTGGTGGCTTGAAGCTATTGCCCTCTTAGGAAAATACGTGTGACGAGTGTATCCTGATTTTCATTCTCGATAAGTCAACCGTTTTCACGTGATGATAAAATACATATAAAAACAGTTTCGTATCCGCGGTACAGAAAGAAAGAAGAGGCAGTGAATAGTTACTATCGCGGTTAAAAGAAGATTACTTACTAACTACATTTTTTTACAAATATATTCAATATTCGTAAATATTTGGCATAGTTTTCTTTTTTCTTAAATTCAGTCGTTATCACCGACCGTACCGCGTGAAAACGAATTTAAAAAATCAATCGTGCCGATTTTGTTAACAGATAACACTGTACACGAAAATGAAACAAAATCAGCACTTATATAGGACGTCACGTGAAAACCGTTTAGATATTCTCCCCTGGTTCTAGTCGTGTGTCATCGTTTAATCGCTTGCATGTATTTCGTATGTATGCACATACTAACTCATAGAGCCTGTTAATCAAATCCCGTACAACGAAATATCAACCCGAAAAATCGATTCCCATCGAACAATTCATGAAACAGAATTAACGCGTTAAATCCGTTAGTGTCTATTCATAGTTTAGCTTCCGTTAACAATAACGGCGCGCAAACACCGTCTAAACGCATTCGCGAGAAAATGGAATCAATTAAACTATCCGTAATTAGTACTGACTTTAGAATCGGGCAGTGAATAATCGCGTTCAAATCGCGGTACAAAAAACAACGAGTTATAAATAAGTTTCTTTTGAAAAATTAAATGAAACGGACGATAAAGGACTTTAGAATGCGAACGAATACACGTGTTCGCATTTACATGTGGATCAAATCCTGTTAACGTGTGTAGAGAGCATTTTGTAGAAAGTACGCTTGCACCACCATTCTAAATTAAAGAGAAAAGAAGAGACGTTGTCCCTAAATGTATCGAACGATCTGGCAAAATATAATAAGCTCGACAAGGCCGAAGCGAATCACTTGTACGTCTCGCGTTAATTGTCTTCAATTTACTTATCTAAAACGTCGCCTACAATCTCTTTAGTACGCAATGATTAGACTGGTGTCCGCTTAGTTTCTCCACCAGTTCTTAACACCGAAGATTTTATTCAGGAATAGTTACGTTAAAACTATTTCTGAACGAAGCCTTGTTCCTGCAGTGAGCGGGTATATCATTGTTGTTCTGTTTTCCTTCTCTTCGAGTACGATCCGTTCGGTCAGACACAGAGAACGCGTCTTTTCAATGAGCAGGAGGAAAAGGGAAGAAGGAAATCAGCTGGATCACTACGCACCGATTTAACAAACGTCAACTGTTTCCCTGTGTAAAACGATTGTCTCGCTTTCTGTCTTCAGAAACATTAAACAAGAATGTCGATACATTTTTGCCAATGCCTTTGCCAACTAATTCCGCGAACAGAAACCATGGACGGTATTCACAAAAAAATGAATCTAAAAGGGAACACGCGATTGTACACGGGAGCAGCGATATTCGAGCTGCTCCGGTTATAGGGCCTCGATGACGTTCAATTCGTTTCGAATCGAGATTACTTTCAAAAGCGTCATCGAAAAGTATCTTAACCGACGGGAATTAATTGAATCGTGTAAGAAAATACAAAAATGAAACGGACTGTAAGTGTAAACGTATCCTTCAAGGAAGAATCTAAAACTCGTTACCGCTCACGAGTTTCCCTGATATTTCGTTTCATTATTATACTTCTCTCCTCTAGTTTATATATACCCTAGATTGTTGGATCGTATGAGTTTACGATGGTATTAAATCGAGTAAAATGTAACTTAGTGTAATAGTACAGTCCGCGGCATACCTCGCGTCAGTTTCTCTTCCGTTCACGAATTCTTATAGTCTCTCGTTCAACGTCTATCCATTCATGTAGCACAAATTCGTCACAAACAAATAAAACCGCATGAACAAGCGCGAACGAAAATCGGTCCAACTATTTACAAAAATAATGTAATCACGATCACTATTGCCACGAAGATATCTTCCGCTTCGTTGACTGCGCTTCGATCTTCGTTCTTCTTAACACATGATATGCGGAAAACATAACTACACGATCCGATCCGAGGTGCTACAGTACTCGACAACGAAACCAGCGGCGGCGTAGGTACTTACAAGGAATGCGTAACTGCCATTTTGCAACGACTCTTAACACTACCGTTTAGAAACCGCGAAACTTACCCGGTTCGTCACACCGTTTTTAACTATTTACATGCTTCCGTTACTTTCTTTCATGTTCGGAGGATAATATGTATAAGGTCGGAGCACCCACGCGAAACGACCGACGTTCATCGAACCCGGTGGTTTACAGAAAATCCAAGGGTGTCTTCGCGTGTCGCGCATTAGAGCCGGGTGGTTCTCTCTGTGACGGTGATAGCAGTCTCGTCCCTTGGCACGGCGCGGTATTTACCACGCACCGAACTAGGGCCGAAGATCGGTGATCCTCAGACAAGATGACCATCGATGTCCGAATAGGCCGGTGTAGGCGTGAACGTTGACAACGGGTGGCCGTGGGCGTGCGTGTTCCCAGACACGGACCGGGCGAAGGTGGTAGGCGGCGGTGGTACCGAGGGTGGTATCGGCGACTTCGAGCCTGCCGTCATCACGGTGACGTCCGGCGGCGGAACCGGACGCGGCAGGGTTCGACTACGCGTTAACGTGCCAGTGCTGCTCACATGGCTGGACATCATATGCCCGGTCGGACTCATCGAGGGATAGTAGCTACCCGTCATCGGATCGCCGACCACAGGAATCGGACTGTGGTTCGTCTCGTAGCCCATGTAACGTCCGTTATCGATTTCGACGCTGTAGAAGTTCACGTCGTTCGGCGGCGCGGGACTGGGATTACCGATGTAACTGGATTTCGAGACTGTAACAAAGAGAAATCGTGAAACAGTGATTTTAATTTGATATTGAAAACGTCGTGAATAGCGTTGAAATTTACCAGAAAGAGTTCCACTGGCTGTCGTTCGCTGGGGCGGCGAATCCATGCTCATCGGCGGTTGGACGTGGTTGCCGCGACGACCGAGCGTTCCTTGATGATGTACCTGCATTTCCATGTTCCCTTTCCCAAAATCCTGTATAGTCTGATCTATTAAATACGTGCTAGCCGCTGTCTTTCGTCCCTCGTCCTATTGCGTTACACACAGAGAAAGCGTTTCGTTAAATTACCGCGCCTAGCACGGGCAAAACCCTGAAACGTGTCTACCAAATGATTAAGTAATAATAAACTATTGTTCAACTAATTCAGTGGAACTTCGTGCTCCTACTGAGGTCGTAGCGTATCAGTATGAAGTGCAATTTATCAGCGTTGCTTTCGATGAAGCAATGCTGTCGATACATCGTCATTCTGATACATTACAAGAGTTCTCGGTATACGTTTACGTGCACGGGAACTAGTTTCTAAACCATGAAACCTGTCTATACTTAAGGATACCCATTGCGAGAAATGTTTCTTAAAATTTAAGAGGTATCATCGACAAAGAATAGCGTACACTACTAGTTGAAGCTTCGAAGAAAAAGAATCTCTCTCGGACGAAGTAAAATAAAAAAAGGTATCGAGAAAGTAAAGTATCGAGCAAAAGATTGAACCGCGTGAACTTTTCGAAGGAAACACAAGGGAACAAAAGCGAGAAAGGTATCTAAACGGAAGCAAAATGGAACAGAAATGTGTGTTAATAGAACTCAAACCTACCCTCCGGCATTACTTGTTACTAAGAACATACTGACTGATCGCACTGACCACGTAATCGTTAGTGTCGAAGTTAACGTCGCTCTTCTCGTCCGAGACCGAACTTAATTCACCGGTCATGGTGTCCCCGTTGACGATCGACGGCGCGTACATATCCGCTGTCTGCGACTTGTTTATACCTGTACAAACATAAAATTGTGTATGATGAACTGTACCGAATTCCCAAATTGCATGCCTTTTTTTAATTAAATTAATTAAATTACTTGTAAAAGAAAAGAAACGTAAGAATTTAAAACGGGGAAATTATAATTATATATATATATAAATTAACGGGGAATATATAAATATAATTATTACATAATTTATAACGTTTATAAACTGTCGACTAATGAAGAGCAAAGATTATTTTAAATTCTACGCGATACGATTCCGAATGTTTCGTAACATTATTTGTTGACACGGTGGAAGAAAAGCCGGATGAAATCTGTACACTGTACGTAAATCGACTTACGAGATTTATTTCGCTTTCTCATAATGTACCACAACGCGACGATCAGGATATTAATGATAAAAAAGACGAGGGATGTTGCTGCAAACGTATAGATATAATTGATCGTAATATCCCCCTTATCCAAGAGAACGTCTGGCAGGTTCGCCGCGTTATTCGGTCCTGCTGGTGGAAAAATCAGAAAGAAAACGCAAATGTAATAATATATTTACCGGAACGTTGGGCCTTCTTTTTCGATTTTAATGTAGCAAAGACTATGGGCGCAGCAATGAGTAGGCATACAGAGGCGGAAACAGTGATGATAATGACGATGATGTAGGAAGAATTAATCTCGCTGGATGTCACGTCGGTAGGTGGTGCCTCCCCTGTAAGCCAAGCGATACGCCCCCGTCACCGAATTGTTACTCATGCAACGACACAATCCGCAGATGGTTAGTTAAAACTTTTAGCATTCGCGGTTCTGATCTATTATTAAACGATTGCCACCGGCACCGTCGATCACAACGTCACGAAACGTTTCATTAGCGCGCCTAAGTCCATCAGCGATGGTAATCCTGCCGACGAGCGAAACTTCATCGTTACGGACGGGCGGCTATTAATCAGCTTGCGTCACGCAATGCTACATATATATAGACGGTTAAACATTGCCAATTACGATAATCGATATTTCGCATTCAGCATACGCCAATAAACGACATTTTACCGGCGCGTTGTTAATCAACGATTCACGGACGGACGTTGTTAAGTTATCTGACGATCAAGCCGTACACGAGGTTTAATGTGAAACGCTTTTGTTATTTCAGCTACGACCTCCTCTATTCCTTTTTCAATGTTCCGGTTTCGAACAGAACGGAAAATACATTTGGTATAACGAAATTTAAATGACGATATGCGCGTTAATAAATAAAGCAGGCTAACTTTATATCTCCTTCACCGAACGCATTAAAAGTATTTCGCAGATAAACGTTTGGAATGAATTATTCAAGCTGAATTAGTTCTATTTCCCATTAACCATACTCTCGTTTATTAAAAAATACGTTCTTTCATTATCAACTTTCATAAATTAATACGATGATAAAATATACTGAAAGCTACCGATATGGTATTATATGATATTGAAAGTTGTTAGTGAACTATGATTTGCTCTAATAAAAAAAAAGCAACTACCATGGCAAACGAAGTATGTATATTGAAAGAAGAGAGAGAGAGAGAGAGAGACTTACGGAGAGTTTGAACTTTGACAAGGTCCGGCAGAAAGCCACTGTCACCCTTCTCATTAATGGCTTTCACGCTGAACACATAGTAAGTCCCGAGGGACAGTCCCGTTATAGTGGTTTTATATTCTCCCGGCGATACGTCTAGGTAATGGTATCGATCCTGGTAGTCGAGCGCCTCTCGCCAACGTATCTGATAGGAAGTGGGTAAACCGCCGTCGAATCCTCTCTTCCACGTCAGGGTGACGGAATCGTGGGTGACGTTGTATACCTCGAGGTCAGTAGGCTTGTCCGGCGGCGACGTCACGTCCAGAAGAATGATATCCGTCGACTGTCCCATTTTGTTCATCGTCCGGCACTCGTATTTCCCGTAATCGCGCGACGTCACGTGGAAAATGGTCAGCGTCGACTCGGAAATTAATTCGCTTAGCTGCAAAAAGACCAACACCGGCACGTTCGTTTGGCGAGATTGCACGACCCATTTTCGCTCGGGTAAATAACGATTTCGGGCTCTCCGGCGTGAAACGATTCGAGGAGTAATAAAAACGGTACTCAATTCCACGTACTCGGAGGAATTTCAAGATTTCTCAACGAATCTAATGACATCAGTCAGGATATTCATCTTTTATCGGGACGAAAGTGAAACTAGAGAAATAATGGAAATGTTTCATTACGAACTCACGTTAGTATGCGAAACTCCGTATTTGTGTTCGGTGACGTTTGGCAACAGCGTTTTTCCATCGAACGCCCAGCTGAAACGAGGCAAAGGCGATCCGCGCGCTTTACAATACAATTGCACGTTAATCCCTTTGTTGGCCGCCGCCCTTCTGGTCAATGGGGTGTTCATCATTTGCGGTTTGACTGCGTGCACAGATGTAATTATATCATTTAAAACAATCGTTACATACACAGTCGGGTGCAACGTTATGAGTTTCGCCGAGACTTTGAATACGTACAATTGGTGATGAAGAGAATGGGCTCAGAGGTAACATTGCCTATCCCGTTGTTAACTTTACATTGATATTCCCCGACGTCTTCCTGATCGGGGTTCTCGATGTGAAGATAAGAAGTTCTGTTGATAAAAGAGGTAGAATACCGGCCGGAGAGTTCCGAGCTCGAGCCAACTTTCTGCCACGCGACGTACTCGTCTCCTATGGGGCTGCCATCCACTTCGCAGAACAATTTCGCCTCGATTCCTGGAGGATACACTATTCCGGACGGCGAGGTGCGTTTAATTTTCGCCGAGTCTGCAAAACGTGCGACGTGCGTCAACATTTCCGTACGACATTTCCCGACTCGACGGAATTCAATTTTTTCTCTACATCTCATATCACTATTTTATATACTATTATAATAGAAAAGTTAGACATTTCTAGTGAAAGACAGTATTTACATTGAACAGTTATGTTCAATTGGTAAAACGTAGTCCCTTCCTCGTTGGTCGCTTCGCAGACGTAAGTCCCGGCATCGTGTCGATCCAGCCTGGTGATATTCAACGTGGAACCTCGGACGGATATCCTTCGATTACTGCTGGCTAACGGCAACCCGTCCCTGGTCCATGTGTACCTTATTTCGTTAGGATTTCCCATGGCGGAGACAGAAACGACGAAAGGCTCGCCCTCCATTCCGATCAGTTCATAAGGATCGATCGGCGAGAATATTGGCTTGTCTATAAAATAAAATCAATTCCTTTTTTTCACACTATTTATTATTGATTATAATATAAACCTAGTAATCATAGCTTGAAACGCGAAATGAAGTTTCAATCGTAGCAAATAACGTTATGTATTTCGCGATGAAAAATAATGTCGACAGGCGTGGACAGACAGTTCCATGGTATCGATATCTCTGCGTCTATTTTTCCAGTTAATACGCTGTTTCGCGTGTAATACTCACACAACACGTCGAGAGTGGTGGCGTCGTGGACAGCCCTATCCATTTCGTTGTTCCTCGCCTGACACGTGTACAGCTCCCCGTTCATTTCTTCCGTCAGATCCAACGCCAGATCGACGAACGACAGAAATCCACCGTGTAAACCGGGCTTGGTGCCGTTTCTGGTTCCCTGCACCGGGATACCACCCTTCCACCAGGACATCTCGGCCGCCGGATTGCTGCTACTCGATTCGCAAATTATGCGTCCCTCCTGACCGGCGTGTAGATTTTGCGGCTCGCGAGTGATCTTCACCTTCTCGGGTGGAACTGAGATAAAGGAAACGATTTTATTTATTGAGTCAAATAAAAGAATAACGATATTCGAAATTAATTAAATAGCAACTGATCCAGATATCTTTCGTTATGGTTAAATACTCGAGGTGAAACGAAGTATAAAACCCGGGAATACGGAGAGCAGATAATTTTGAAGAAAAGTTGAAACCGTTTGTATGTATCTACTAGGAGCGAAAGCTTTCTCATCATGAAAATTTCAGAGCTGATAAGAGTTCCCTTGCATTGTTCATATCTGTGATATTGCTAAAGCGTTATGTTGCGGTGCGGGCGGCACTTTATCGGGTCTTACAGTTAACTTTCAGGACGAGCACTTTGCGCAGAGGAATTTCAGTGGCGGAATTCGCTGCATCGCATCGTATGCGCGCGTTATTGTCGGACGCGTTTACGAGTATCGTCAGCTCGCTGGAAACCGCGTGGTCTCGCGTTCTCGTGGTTCCCGGTACCTGAAACACAAAGTGTATTAGATAAATAAATTCGTGCTCTTGCTTGCATGCTTGCTTGTTGTGTTTCCCTCCCCTTGATCTTCGCAATAGGCAAATGTGCAAATAAAAATGCGATGCAAACTACTTTCATGATTAAAATTTTTTCAATTCGAATGAATTAATTATTCAGTAACGTTAACATTACAACAAAATTAATTGATACTTTCTGCGAATGGCTAACGATGTTTCATAATTAGTTCACTAAAAATAAGTACGTCGAGTATTAATTTCATGCAACCGACAACAGTTCGCATTTTGATATTCAACAACATCATAAACAATAATATGTACGTATATTACATTTATTGTACAGAAAATATCGTTTCACCGTTGAATAAATTAATTGATATTCCTGTAGAATGCGTTTGTTACATCTATATTCATTTTGTCCTAAATTTTGTGGGACGGTCCACTCACCTTCCTGTCGTTCTTGTACCAACTCAACATGGGCAACGGGTTTCCGGAAGTGGCCGTGCACATCAGTTTGAGCAATGTGCCCGAGTCGATCGTCGTCCCCTCCTCGTAACCGGTGATGCTAATCCTCGACGGTGGATCTGTCGCGAAATAAATAATTGTCCCAGTTGTACACAAACCGATGTATAACATTGCAGAGTCTTACTAGTTCCCCTAATTGCTCGACAAAACGTGTCACAAGCGGATGGGACTTCGCTAGTACAAGTGGAGTAAGGTACAATTACACGGACTCGTATCTGCCCCGACTAAGGCGGAATTAATTTCGACGCAAGTTCGAATTACGAGCGGATACGTATTCCATAGATTCGCAGGGTTAAACTGGCAAGACACTGCCCCGATTAGCCCCAGATTAGTTTTATACTAATCTACCTGTTAAATACAGATTCCCGATCCCGCTTAACGTTCATCCTTCTGATTATCTAACCGGCTTACAACGTTCCATGAACGATACAAATATCAAGAATGAAATTGAAATTTGCGCGAGATACGAATATTACTTACAAATCACGGTGATGGTGTGTGTCCTGACGACGTTCTCCGTTAGCTTAGCGTTAGAGGCATCGCAAATCACCACGATACTTCTACTGGTGCGATTTATATTGAAAGTCACGTTCGAACTGGTGATCCAACCGCCCTGCGACGCCGGCTCCGTTCTCGAGGCGTTGCTCTCGAAATTGTGACCGTCCACCGTCCACTTAATGTCCGCCGGCGGGTTCGAGTTCTCTGTCGTGCAGGTGATCACCACTTGTTCGTCCGCCTTCGCCTCCGTTGGCCCGTTGATCGTCACCCCGGACGGCGCGACTACGAGCGAAATGGCCACGTTTAGTGAAATAAAACTGAACGATATCAACGATGCTCCAAGGTTTATCGAATTGATTTCGATCCGGCCGGATTATTAGATCGCATATTTTTGATTTATATACTGCACGCACAGCGCTTATAACTTCTACAGATTTCTTTCGTAAGGTCAGCAGTTCAATTATTATAAAAAGGACGTTTTAGAGGTACTCACAGAGTACAGTGAGATCGACGTGGACTTTCATGGGCTCGACGCTCATGATGTTGAACACCTCGCATCTGTATCTCGCGTTATTATCCTGCGCTTTCGCGATGATAGACAACACGCTTTCAGAGAAGCTACCCTCCGTTCGATACACCGTGGAAACCTGTTCGTTGTTCCTGTACCATACGATCTGCGCCGGTGGATTTCCGCCCCGTGATCGACAGGTCAACTCCAACTGTTGTCCACGTTTCACGGTCTCACCCTCGGTGTAGCCCTCGATGTACGGCATTCCGGGTGGATCTGGAAAATGATCCCGATCGTGCGAGTTACCCCGTACCGGAAGCGTCGCGTCTCCCCCGTTGTTCGTTTCGGTAATGGAAAAAGTTTCTCGATAAAACTTTTAAAAGGGGGAGCAACCGCGTTGCGTTTAATTGACACGCGTTATGCACAGCGAGAAACAGTTTTAAAATACGTGCCAACGATGTATCTTTTTTTTCAAATAAAATTACAGCCAACGAGGAAATGATAAAGAGATTGAAATTTGGGAAATTCTGCTTACAAAAGACGGAGAGTTTGATGGTGGCTCTCAGAGGTCTGTCGATTGGTATTGCTGGGTGGTTCGCCTCACAGGTGTAATTCATGTCATTGTCATCAGCTGTAGGGACGATCACGATGGAACCGTGAGTGTCATATTTCAGCAATTCCTTTTTACTCTCCCCTGGTTTTTGTAATTCTTTATCTGAGACAGACAACAACGCACATTTTGCATTGGTTACAATTATTTTTTATGTACATAATTTATATATAACAATTTTAAAGCTTGTTCTAAAGGTAGATTAAGAAAGCTGAATCTATTTCTATAGGATCTCACGCTTTAAAGTCTTCTCCTTGGGCCTGCAATACGGCCAGGCTATAATAGACTAGCACTATTCAATACAATACAAAAAGGAACCTGAATTACCTCTTTCATGACTAAAAGTAAATCAATTTTTAATAAGAATTCAGTTCAAGTAGAACCATAAATAATTATAAAAACAGCGTTGGTATAAGAGTTCTCTGCTTACAATTTCTATCGATCAGTTAAGGATGTATTGGCTATACAGTCAATCCCAAAAGTCTATGTACCTTAGAAAAACGCATTTCCTATAATTAAAAGGAACTCAGACGTCGGAAGAATAATGCTAATAATAAATAGCTACGTGCTAAAAAGTATACAAGGAAATAT